AAAAAAAAAATTACATGTAATTTTAAAAATATAATCCTCAATATGCTCTTTTGTAATTAAATTATTTTTATGTTTTTTTATCAAGCATCTAAGACATGATCTATTTCCAAAATTAGGTAGAGCAAACATACTTGAACACAAACTTTGCTTGCATTAATATACTTATATCATATTGAACTACTCGTCTGAAAGTTTACTATGAGAGGCACCTGATTAATTAATAAGTAATTTAATAGTGATTATATTTAAAAACAATAACTAACTCGGCATAAAGTAAACCCTAATTGGATGGATAGATTACTAGATAAATTGATGAAAGTTGGTTCTAAATTATTATATGATATCTCATCCTAGGAAAGCAACTCGGATGGAATCCGCCGACGGAAGAAGACAAAAGATGGGGTCAATCTCAAAAATGGTACACCTTTTCACAACCCACCTACCCACCCCCCCGAAAAAACCAAAAAAAAAAATAAAGCACGGAAAATGATTTCTTATATTTCCTTGACATGGGTTTACATCAAGAAAAGAAGCAAAGTAGCTGTGGAATATGAATATAATGTGATTTTTAATCGATTCCAATATATTGTCATTCTATTGCACACCTCTTCCTCGTACAAAATATTGTAAATAATATGATGTTAATGAATGACAAATATATTCATACAATCCTAGTTTTTATTACCATTGTATCCTTAATTCTTTCTTATAAATATAGGATTTTGGTTTTTAATAAAACACGCACAATTTTATTTACTTCTTTATTTTTATCTCTTTTCTCTATAGTTTATAACACGTTATCAGTACGAAATTCTAATCAATTGAGTAATCAAAATTTATTTTTCTTTCTGCTTTCAAACCTGTATTCAGAAATTTTTTTCCTTCAATCAAAAGAAGATAAAAAGTTCTAGCTGATTGAGTTTACGAAAAAACTCTTTTAATTTGTTCAAAGAAAATGATAGTATTTTCTTAACTTTAAATTGTATAACAAAGATGTATAGTTATTCGATTTGATTATATCGATTAGACCATACCAATTTTTGATAAATAAATATTTACATGAATGTAAATTTTTTTTGTTCAATATTCTAGCACAATATTTCTAAAGAATATTGTATTATTGTTTTTTAAAAGAAACAATCTAAAATCAACATTTCAGAACAATGTTCTATTATTATTTTGGAAAAAATAATCTAAATCAATATTCCAAAATAATATTGTAGCATTGCTTGAAAAGGAATATGATATTTGTACTATTTTGTTGCTCCTGAAGAAGTACAAATTCACACATACAATATTTAAAATAAAATTCTATTGTTACATTTGTAAAGTATAATATTTTTTGATATTAAATTCTTGAATAGAATTTGTTTCTAAACGTGTTTTCATGAAGAAATACAATTTAAAATTTCATTAATATTTATAAAGAATATTATGTAGATTTTGAAAAAATAAATAAATCTATATATGTTTCTAATATTCCGGTGAAATATTACTTGTCCCAAAAGGATATGATATTACAATTTCAATATTTTAGGAGAATATTGATTCATTGCTCTTGAAAAATAATGATTATTTTATTGTATGTATAATGATTTTTTTTTTTTTGGTATGAATATCTATTTGCATTAATCAATTATGAAACTAAGTCAATTCAAGTTAACGGGCAAAGGAAAATTTTGCATTTATATATCTACTTTTTTAATGGAATCCGTGTGAATAAATTCAGACCAATATTTTATGTGTGTTTCATCATTTCTTCTAGTTAATTATCTATTTTTTTGGCTCATCGTTTGATTAATTATCATGTTATTCTTTTTAATACGTAATATAATTTTAGTACTTGTAGATCTAACAATGTCTTTCGTTCGATTGAATAGATATTTAAATGGGAAATATTATATTCAATCAGAGGTTCAATTATTGAGTGTATTCTACAATCATTGGATTAATAATAGTGTGAAATTAAAAATTTAAATGGACATTTAACGAAGAACCAGAAGACTTCAATAAAAAAAATTCCTATATGATGTCTGTTTTCGAAAATTGGCCATTGATTGTCATTAACTAAATTAGGGAATAAATTTCCTATATTTTTGAAAATTAATTAAGATGATAAATAGACCCCATCATCCTCCACGATGACTATCTAGATGTTATTTGTATCTAACAGATTTGATACATCTACTAGATATTGTATGGTATTCGCAACCTGACACTCGCAAAATTGTTGCTCAACATTTAAATTATGAGAATAATTTTCAAATTACATAATCAAGACAACATGTCTTGTTAATGCTAATAAGATACAATCTCAACATTTTAATAAGTGTTAGTTAGGATGTTGATAAATGGTTTAATATTATTACTTGTTAAACCACTCTAATTAATTTAATTGAGAACAAAATACTTTTAATTTCTATTTAGAGAATGCTATTGTGCATCATGCTAGTATCAAGTTCTTGCTATTATTATTGGTTTATGATCGGAGCCTGATTTCTTCATCTAATTATTTGATAGTGCAATATATGTACAAATAACCCACCAAATTGTACGAAGATGAAAATGAAAAATGTTGAGAATAAGTATCTAATTTGAACTTTTATCCCAAACGGATGTTATTTTATAACCCAATTTGTTGATTGTTAATTTGATCGGATAGTTCTTTCAATAATAAGGCGAAGAATTAAGAAATTAAAAATAAAGTACAAATGCATCATTATCTAAATCCTTGCAAAAGATAATTGAAATCAAAAGTTTGAAAGATAATTCATTTAGAAGCATTTACTAGTAAAAAAGATCAATAATATCTCACACATCAAAGATATCTCAATAAGTTATGTTGTCATGAGAAAAAAATAAAACAGAAAAAGGAAAAGATTGTCGATGACACTCATCATATTATGAATAGTGAGGAATCGAAATAAATTCATCAAAACATAACAATTGAAGCAATGATTGACCAAATTAAAGGAACGCAATCCTAAATTGAACTTATTGGAGAAACCTAAAGTTTTTAGACTTGCAATCCGAAAGCCTAAAGGTGTATACTTATACGAAAAGGAAATGAAAAAAATATTGTCGTAATATGTATTATACAACTCTTATCATAATGATATTCGCAAAGACTCATATAAATAGATGAATTGTCATGTGGTGGATGCAATCGCAAGTCTCTATCCTATAAGTTTGACAATGCATAAAATTTGATATGCATATAACAAATGTGAGTATAATCAACTTATCTTGTATAGTTTTAATGTTATACGTGAAGCATAAAATTCAAGTGATATTATCATAAGAAATAATAGATATACATTGTACTTTTTTTCGTTGATCAAGGTTTTGTCGAATTGAATTTTCTTGACAAGATTTTTAATAAGACAATTTTGTAGTGTATTCAAAAGAATAATGTACTATTTTTCTTTCATTAGGATTTTTGCTATAGGATTTTTTTAATAGGGTTTTAAAAAGGCACATTCTTTGTGTAATGGATGCTCATAACATATATAACATTTACCTTCAAATTAATATTCCTATATGTATGAGGCTCTTGAAAAGGTCATCAAGAACTATTTTTTGAATTATCATGTTACTACATTTATCAAAGGTTGATAAATGTCATCTATGAAGACGATATTATTTGAAGGATATAATAAGATAACATGAAACGTGCTTCATCAGAATTACAATATTGAAAATATTGATATACATGATATGTATGACACGATACAAGAATTTTCATTTATTGAAATCAAGAGGAGCAGATGTACTCTAATTTTTCCTAAACTCAAATTTTGTCTCAATGAAATTTCTTGACAAGATTTTAATGAGACATATATTTTGTAATCTATCATTCTAGAGGGAGTGTTGTAAATAATATAATTATTAGTGAATGACACTTATATTTCATGTAGCTTTAGTTTTTATTACTATTGTATTCCTAATTATTCCTTATAAATATGGGGATTTGATTATTAATAAAACACACACAATTTTATTTATTTATTTTCTTTTCTTTTCACTCTAGCTTATAATGATTAGATAAATATCATAAGATGTAATAAAGTTTTATGTTAGTTGTCAACCTAATAATGCAACTATCTTCCTTTACCTTCTCTGGAGACTAAATCATGACAAATAATTATATTTAGAATTCTGGTGCTGGAACCTGTTTCGGGCTTTATAATATGTTTGAAGTGAATGCGGTGTGTTTGAATTATTAGCTTCGTTGTCCAATAATTATCACTTTTGAAATTTCCAATCCTTTTTTATATTGGTAAAAATGAAAGAGAGAATAATGTCGTCTAACAAGAAAAATACTCTGATATACAGCTATAAATGTTTTCTTCTGAATGTCATATTCTAATGCCACAAGATATTATTGCGATTATAGTACATCATATTATTAGTGAAACAGAAAAACTCTACTTTCTTAAAACAATTTTATAACCCCTTGGATTCCCGTCGTGACAGAAAATTTTACGAACTTTAATATTAAATCCAAGTCATCCTGGTTGCACAAGAATACTGGCCTCCATTATCTAACTGAATTTAACTTTATTATTCTCATCCCCACAATTTTAGGGCATCAGAGTTGTAGCGATTCAAGATTTCGTACAACAAAAACCAAAAGAAAAAGGAAGAGACAATCTTTTCTTGAAGCATGAATTCTCCTTGGGGGAAAGATGTTTTTAAACTAGAAGATGAGAGTCCAACTTTGAATATTGATTCGAACCAAGAAGCTAAATCCTCCAAGGATTTGGAAAGTACTGAAGAAAAGATCCAAGAATTCCTTGGGAAATTTATGGAGGATAATAAAGAAAAGCACTATATTGGTGTCAGAAAGCGACCATGGGGTAAATACGCAGCTGAGATAAGGGATTCCACAAGGAATGGAACGAGGGTTTGGCTTGGGACTTTTAACAGCGCACAAGAAGCTGCTATGGTTTATGATCAAGCTGCATTTGTGATGCGCGGATCTACAGCTCCCCTAAATTTTCCTTCAGAAAGAATAAAGGAATCTCTTCAAAACATGAATTACAGGTGTAAGGGAGGTTCATCACCAGCTGAAGCCATAAAAGAGACTCACAGGACTCGGAAAGGCAAAGGAAAAATGAAACAAATTAGTAATGAAGATGTATTGGTGCTTGAGGACTTGGGATCTGATCTTTTAGATGAATTATTATCTCAGACTGAATTTTAAGTCGACAGGAACATCGTCTTCTGCATCTGTGAATCAATTTCTCCTCGCATTTCTGGTTTCTTACTTGAACCCTAAATCGCTGCCTCTTTCTTCTTCCCCTTTTTACCTTCCTTTTGCTTAAATCATTAATCAATTTCAAACTCATTCAAATTTAAGTTTACTTTCACTTCGTGACTCGGCTCTCCAAATTAATTAGTGCTTTGAATCTGAAATAAGACGACACATATCAATCTTCAATTTGAATTATTTTTTTCTCGATTTTTAATTTTGATTAGTTCCTAGTTCCAAAGAAGATCCGAGAAACATCAATTTATTTTTAATTGAAATTGGATACAAAATTTTAAGAAGTTTCGGTTTTCTATCTTTCCGGGAAACAATTTTATAAAATGGAAAAAGAAAATGTGAATTAAGCTCGCATTATTAATCATCCGCATAATGATTTTGTCATACTATATGTATTTTTTGAATGCTTTATGAATGGACTTCACGATGAATATTCTTGAAATCTCTAGCTTATAGCATCTTTATTCAATGTCCATACATAATTCTCTAGCTTATTAAGTGGAATTTTCCCTGATTCCCAGCTAGTTTGTAAAAATATGTTCTTGTACATCTCTTGTAACGTTCTGTTGTTGCTAGATTATTATATTTAGCATCATACTTGTTTTGATCTTGAAGTAATTTGACTCCTGCTTATCATTTAATGTTTTTTATTCGACTCTTGCATTTTTTGTGATTGTCTTTGATAAATTATTGGGATAAACCTTTATAAATAGTCCATTATATATATATATATATATCAACATCAATGGAACGAAGCACATATCTATTTAATAATTTTCAACTTTCGTGCAAGCAATCAAGTGCTGGAAGTCTTATTTTCCATTGGTTTTTTCTTTCACAAATATGCCGTTCTCTCTGTTAGGAATTAGGCGCTCCTAATTCTGTCAGATGAATGAGATGCAAAATAATTTAAACTGAAAAGAAATGGAAATAGTAAAAAAAAGTGCAAGTACAACACAAGAATTTACGTGGTTCAACAATCGTGCCTACGTCCACAAGCCCATGCCTACTTTTCACTGTACCAACAAGAAAAGAAAGGAAATATAGCAATACACTTTCTGTACTTTATTTGCCTACGATGAGATAATCTCTCAATTTTTTTTTTTTATTTTTTTTTTTTGCTCTCTACAGAAAATTCTCCCTACTTAACTCTCATTTCTTTTTTCTCTACTTCTGCACTTCTTTTTTTCGCTATACCTAAAGTTTCATTTACGTATCTAATTTATAGAGAATTTTTAGGTGACATAATCTTTTCCCTTTGGACCATTTGGATACAATTGCGTATGAATCCATTTGGTGCATTTAATTCCATTTCTCAATCGCGTCTGAATATGAGAAAAATCCATGCATGAAAAACTTTGCATTAAATGTAAAAGAAAAACTTTCTACCAACTTTGAAAATGTGAAGCCTAAATATTAGGCTCCACTATTCATGAATAGTAGCCATCACTATTCAACAATCTTCCACTTGAAGATTAATGTAGCTTCACCTTGAGGCATCTTGCATTCCTTGTATGATCAGTTCGATTTTAGTGAAAAATGGTGCGGATAATCCATTCAGTCTTCATTTTAGAAGACCAACCGAAATTGAGCACAACTCTAGTTATCTGTAGTTATTGTCTTGGTTAAAATAACGGCCGGGTTTTTGCTACCCTAGATCTTTTTTAATGTTAGTATTCCATTCTCCAAGAGTGATATGATGAAGTGATAACGAAGTCCCATGTGCTTGATACTTGAATGAAATGTTGAATTCTTAGCCAGGTGTATAGTACTCTGACTATCGTTGTGTAGAACATTCTTCATCTGTTTGAGACAAAATTATGTTAACAAACTTTATAATCAAATCATCTCTTTGCTAGCTTCGGTTACTGCCACATACTCTGCTTCTGTAGTTGATAAAGCAACAATATTTTGTTTTTGCAAAACACAACTCAATGCAATAGTACCAACTTTGAATGCATAACCAGTGGTGCCTTTTCTGTAATCGATCTCACCAACAAAATTTGCATCTACAAAACCTTGTTATGTCAACTCACCTCTTATGAAGCACAAACATATATCAGTAGTATCCTGTAAATATCTCAATATCCACTTTGCTGCTTCCTAGTACCATTTGCTTGGATTGGTCATGAATTTGCTCTCAATTCCCACTGTATGAGCAATATTTGATCTTGTACATGCCATGACATACATCAAACTTCCACTACCTTTGCATTATTCATGTTGAAGCTCTGCAAAACATGACTAATGTACCTGGCATAAGGTAGCTGTAAAATACCATTTTGCTTATACCTACGAATTCTTATCTCAAGAATTTATTTAGTTCGACCCAAGTCCTTCATTTTGAATTCTTCTGATAATTGCATCTTTAATTTTTAGATTTCGTTCATGTCTATTCCTGTCACTAACATGTCATTAACATAAATTAAGAAAATAATGTAACTAGACTCCAACCTTCTAAAGTTGCAACAATTGTCAGCGTTGTACTTGTAGTAGCCATTTCTTTGCATAAATCCGTCAAACTCTTTGTACCATTGTCTCAGAGCTTGTTCTAAGTCATAAAAGCTTTTCTTCAATTCGCACACAAACATCTCTTTTCCTTTGATTGAGAAATTCTCTAGTTGTTGCATATAATTTTTTTTATGTCACCTCGAAAAGATAGTTTTCACATCTAATTGCTCTAAGTGCAACCTCTATGCTGCAACAATACTTAAGATCGATAAAATTGTTGTCAGATTTACTACAGCAAATGAACCTTTGTGGAGTCAATTTCTTCCTCTTTGTTGAAAAAATTTGACCACCAATATCGCTTTACGTTTCGTTGAACCGTTATGTTCTTCTTTGACCCGATAAAGCCATTTATTATGTAGAGCCTTCTTTCATGCAAGTAACACAACTAGCTCTCATATTTAATTAGAGATAAGATACTTTATCTCATATTTCATTGATATCTCCCACTTGATCGCATCCTCTCCCTGACGTGCCTCATCATAGCATTCATGTTCATCGATATTAGTGAGTAACAAATAATTTATGTATTTTCGATTTAGAACATATAACTGAGAAGACCTCCTTAGAGTAGGAATAGAAATTGGAGACTTTGGTATATCAGTCTCCGCGACATCTTTCTTTGGCTAAAGACCCTCATCTGCCTCTTGTGACATACTACTTCTTGAAGTATCATTTAACTCAATTTATGTTCAGATCATCATGTGAATTACTAGACTGCATTGTGTCTCTATCCTTGTACATCACCCCTTTCATTGAATATGACATCTTGACTTTTGATAACTTTTTTGTTCTTATCATGCCAAAAATGGGATTTCGAACTCGTCTCCACCATATCCAATGAAAGTACACTTTGGTGATTTGAGATCAAGCTTATTCCCAGCTTGATCACTAATATATACATATGCGATACAGCTAAAAACTTTCAAATGAGAAAGTTTTATTTCTTTACCGCTCCATACTTTCATTGGTATCCCCTACTCCGAAGGTATTGATGGCCTACAATTGATTAAGTATATTGATGGCCCGCAATTGATTAAGTACTGTGTGTTAATAGCTTCAACCCGAAGGTATCCGTTCTCGCTCATGATGGGACGCAAGTCTCCTTATACGTGGTTAGTCAATAAACTAGTTAGACGTTTGGTGAGAAGAATAGAATAACTGTTCCCTTTATGTACAGCCTTTAATCCCTATTCTCCCTTTCGTTATCTTGGGAAGATTGATCTTTTGACCTTGTTGCAGCATGAACTTTCGAATGATAGTATTATCCTCAGCAAAATGCTACATATTATTGGCCACCTACTCACAGTTCGACTTGACTTGGATATTTTTTTTGCTCTCTTGCTTCTTCGTCTCTGGCGGTTTTGTTGTGGAATAGTACGACCTTCATTTTTACTCATTGTGTTTTCTTCATTGCTTATTTTAGTTTTGCTGATGCTACCTGGCTTTTTGTCTTCCTCACGTGTGTGCTTCTCATTGTTTTTGCAGGTATTCCCATAGACAGCCAAATTGTTGATCTAAAAAATAGAAATTATTTGTAAAACAAACTATCAAGTCTCCTTGAATTTTGGCAAGGATCACCACTTTTGAGGCTTTTGGCAATGATTAGGACCTAAAGTGTTTTGTGAAGGAAGGAAAGTGAAGTTTTAAGACATTTGTTTTGGCGAGAAATTGTCCTGCAAATGGAAAATATTTGAATTTCCGATGGGGCTTGTTTTTTTACTTTGCCTTAATTTGGACTTTTTAGAGAGTGAAAAATTGGATCTTATATTTTCAACCATTAATTACTTGTGCCAATGAACTTATTTATAGATAATATTTAGGGGCCTTATAGTCATTTTTGCGAGTTAATATTCTCTCATCATTATGTTAGAAGTCATGATTAAGTTCAATTTCAAGATTTTTGTTAAAGTTTATGCTATTATGATATTTGTCAAGCGATTCATTGTGTACATGCATAGGCTTATTGCACTAAAGTTTAGGTTGTTTATGTCATAATCGGCAATAATGCTTTGGAAAAATTGTAGCAGCGATCCTTAACCTTTATATATATATCCCAAACCTTTGATAAATTAACAGTTGGAGACCAAACGTGAAAACACCCATTTGACTATTAGTTGACCAAGAAAAGCAAACTTTGACCAATTTTGACTAAATTAGAAGGGGTAAAATGATAACTTTAGAATTATCACATTAAATAAATAAACAAAAAACCAAAAAAAATAAAACAAAATACAAAACAAATAAAAGACTAGTTCCTCACCCTCACCCTCACCCCCACTAACTCCACGCCACCCCACTGCACCCGAAAAATTAATTGTTGCCTATCGTCACAATCCACCAATACGCTGTCGCACCGCCCACGATTGCCACAAGGAATCATTGCAGCTGCAGCCCCTAAACCAACCTAGAAAAACTCCAAACTATTGAAATGCAGCCTCTGAGTCAACAAGACAAATAATATCAACCCATTTAAAAATTTAACTATAGACCCGCAACAACTTCGGTGTAGTTACAAACACAAGACCCGACTCAATTCGCAGTGAGATTTTTGGGGATCTGAGAGAACGGCTTGTTTCAAAGCTTCTACTGCAATGTATGCATTTCTTAGCCTTGAATTCTCAAAGACAAAACAAATATATGTAATCTTTGTGTATTGAGCTTTTTAATAGCAACCACCATGGAATCTCTCTACCCATTTGGAGGCATTTCTATAACTTTATAGACAAAAAAGAAATAATTTATAAGATATGATTTATCTGCATCTAAAGTATCAATTCCAACAATATTCAGGGGATCCCTTTCCCGAACTCATACGTGTTTCAGCGGGTCTTACTGTAACCGATTTGTATGGAAATATACGGACCCATAGCTTTTGCAATCAGTTTCGCTATAGCACCCGCTGCTTTCACTAATTGTCCACCCTTTCCAAGCAAAACCACATTCCCCCATCTTCAGTAGCCTGTTGAAATTTATAGTTGCTTCCCTAAGTTCTGAAACAGAAAGAACCCTCAAAGTCGGTTCTCTTTCTCTATACATTTACGTTATACTTCGACAGTTGCTGTTTTTCTAATTTTTTGGTTTTGGGTGGGTTGTGTTATTTCGATGTAGTTGGATATATTTTTTCA